CCCCAAAACCCCAAAACCCCAAAACCCCAAAAATTTCACTTAAAATAGAATTTTAAATACAAAGAATGTCAGCTATTTCAAGAACTCCAGAAAGGAGTGGAACTGTAGCCAGAGTGGATTTAATCACAAATTATTTCAAGCTTTCTTTCCCAAATGGGGGTGACTGTCCTATCTTCAAGTACTCAATGAAGTTCATCCCAGATGTACCGGTGAAGAATCAAAGGCTAAAGCTGAAGCTTTTCAGTAAGATCAGAAAGCAAGTGGTAAATGACCTAGGCAGAGTGGTCTATGAAGGTAATAGTGAACTCTATGGGATGAGCACCGAATCTGAACCAGAGGAGTCGTACAAGGCCTCTTTTAGAGATGAAGATTACACTATTTCAGTAAAATTTGTGCAAGCAATTAGCCCAAGCGATGCTGATTCTAAAGTCTTCTATGGTATCTTCATCAAAAGCCTTTTTACAAAGCTTGGGCTGAGTGAAATTGGTAGGAAGTACTTTGATGCAAGAAGAGCCCATAATCTCTCTGATAAATCTCTTAGTATCATGCCAGGCTTCTCCTCTGCTCTAGAGAGTTTATCTGATGGACTAATGGTCAAAATAGATATAGCTCACAGAGTGTTACGACAAGAATCTGCCTACAATGTAATAAAGGGAATCAAAGGGCATTGAAGAGATCCATATAAGCTCCAATGGGAGATAAAGAAGGCCCTTGTTGACTCTGTTGTCCTTACAAAATATAACAAGAACTCTACTTACCAGATCAATGATGTTATATTTGATATGAATCCTATGTCCAAATTCAAGTATTATGATATCTCAAAGCAAGAACTCACTGAAATCTCATATTGTGAGTACTACAATAAGAAGTACCACATCACTCTCAAGGACGAAACCCAGCCGATGCTAGAGTACCGTGACAAGAGAAGGAAAAGATCTATCTATCTCGCACCAGAGATCTGAACTATGACTGGGATCACCGACCGACAGAAGAAGGACTTCAAGATCATGAAAGAAATGGCCTCTATTACCCATAAATCAGCAGAAGACAGAATGAAGAGCGTCAACGAGCTGCTTGACACAATCAAGCAGAGTGAAAACTGTCAAGAGACTATGAAGGCGTTCAAGGTCCAAATTGAAGATGAGCCTTCTAAAGTTCAAGGAAAGTTACTGCAAATTGGCAAATTCTTAATGGCCAAGGATGGTTGAGGAAAAAGAAAAGAGATCGAACCCCTTGCCAGAGAGGGTTGAGATAGAGATATACAGCATAAGATGTATGAGCAGGCATCCTTGAATAAGTGGGCAATACTTTATCATCATAGTTCTGAAAGGTTTATCGACAATTTCTGTAATGGCTTTAGGAAAGTTTGAGGTGAATATGGATTCAAGATTAGAGCTCCTAAAATGATTAAATGCTCTCAAAATGATTTAGAACGGGAGATAAGGAAACTTGGAAATGTAGACGATGTTGACTTGCTTCTGTACGTTATTGAAGGCCCCAAAGTGAATAATGAGCAGTATAAGAGGTTTAAAAGAATGACTTTTAATGAGAAACAGATCCCTACTCAATGAATCAATGTGTCTACTATCAAAAAGGGAAGGAATATCATGTCAATTTATTCGAGGATTCTCATGCAGATAAACAGTAAGCTTGGAGGTGCACCATGGGCTGTTTCTGAATGCCCCCTTTCTAATAAACCTACAATGGTGATGGGCATAAATGTTTGGAAAAAGAATTATAAAGCAAAGCACTCGATTATTTCTCTGACTGCCTCTGTAAACATTAGGTACAACAAATATATTACCATATGTGATGAAATAGGACCTAATGAAGATCTTGGCTCAAAAATGAAAATTTTAGTAGAAAAAGCAATAGAATCTTTCCTGAAAATCAACAAGACTGAAATTTCAAGACTGATTATCTACCGCGATGGAGTCTCAGAATCCCAACAAACCCAGGTGCTAATTTATGAAGTCGAGCCTATCAAAAGTGCACTGAAAGAGAAAAACATTTCTTTTGCCTTTATCATTGTTAACAAGAGGACCCAGACCAGATATTATGTTCAAGAGGGAAGACTTAAAGGACCTACTCCAGGAATGCTTGTTGATGAAGGAATTGTCAGTCAGAAAAATGGGCCTTCAAAAGATTTCTACCTCGTCTCCCAAATAGCAAAGCAGGGAGCAGCTTCTCCAACACATTACCACATACTTCATATTGACGAGGGTCTTCATAAATCTGATTTGATGCTGCTTACTTACAAATTGTGCTTCCTTTACTTCCACATAAACTCAGGAATTAAGGTTCCTGCTCCAATCCAGTATTCTGAAAGACTAGGAGCATTACTTGGAGATAGTGTTAATGCTAAAGCTAACGAGAAAAGACCTGATGAGAATGGTAAGATTTACACCCTTCCAGGCAAGAGGTTCCTTAACAAACCAGGACTCTTCTTTATTTAAACTGAGATAACTAAAACATTCAACATGAAGCTTCTGATGGGGTTTTGGGGTTTTGGGGTTTTGGGGTTTTGGGG